TTAAACGCCACGAATCGTATAATTGATGACTTTATTATTCTTGATCCTTGAACTATTATTCGATCTGAAAATAAATGCATAATTACTTATAATACTTTCATTCTATACAAATTCATTTACTAGCAACTGTACTTACTTGTGTGCCGGGTATACAGTTCTCTTGTTGTCCTGGTTAGCGTTTTCTATCTGGTTAGCCTTTAGTATCCTGGTAAGCTCAGTGCTCGTACATCTATCTCTGAAACAACTCCTTCTGACTAACTACACGTGCTCATTTTACCTCTATTTTCTTAATGTCAATCAATATCAATCAACCCAATAAAGAGAGTAATTAATAACTAACTTTCCGCAATATCTATTGTAATCGTATCTTGACAGTTAATAACACTGATTCAAATCACTAATATAATGGGCAAATGAAATGTCCCTTCCTTCCTTCCTTCCTTCCTTCCTTCCTTCCTTCCTTCCTTCCTTCCTTCCTTCCTCTTTTCGAGTATGATATTTAAGATAAAATTCCATAATAATTTCCAATATTAAATGAAATGATAAAGTAATTATATATAAAATTAATAATCTATAATAATTCTTAATTAATCTATAAGATAGGGAATAAGTAAGATAATTACTTGAGTCGGCTACCAACGTAGTATGTTTTTGCTCTCTTGGCGGGTGACCTACCCAGTTCACAGACAAAAACTCTGCAGAAACAAAGGATAGAATGTTTTGGAAACAAACCAGTAAAGTTTTGATCTTACGAAAGATTTATTTTTCGATCTTTTGAAATATTTGAAAATACTTAGCAGTATATTGCGTGACGATTACATGCATTCCTTCACTTCCTTGCATGACCTTGAGAATGTCATATTTAGTAGCACTCTTAGCATTCAAAAGCCGTTCTTATTTCAAGAGCATAGCAGAACAAAACATGGCTCACAAAGGCGATTACAAACTTCAGCTGCAAGATCCCGATGACTCGCACACTAGGCAAAAAAAAGCCACTTGTTTTCGGGTCTTTGTGTGTTTTGCTGTCTTGGGTCTTTCTATCGGTGTTGCTGTGTTCATAGCCGGAATAGTAATTCTTAACAAGAGCTCTACATCTCAATGTCCCAACAAGCTTGAGTCTCGCAGTTCTTGTGGGTTTTCTCCTGAAGCTCGACGTGTTGGTCTGCCAGATGTCTTAAGGAAGATCAAGGAGGCTTATTACGAGTATAATCCAAATTACGTGGCTTGGAAACCGGATCTTTTTGGGAAGGAACTTAATGAGTTTGTGAAGAAAAGGTTAGTCGCTAGTAATTCGTGTAAAGTGACCTCGCAAGCACAACTAAAAGTCTTAACAATGGGTAAAAGAGTAACACACTGAGAAAGGAGATAGCGGGATTATTCTGAAGCTTGACCCTTAAAATGACTATACTAGCTTTACTGCAAAACTCGTGTAGTTGATGGCAAGTTGACCAATTTTAGGAATATAGTGTTTGTGTTTAGAGTTCCAGACGACGTATTGGCACAATTTACATAGCAAGCTTTGACCTCTGTAAACTCCTTTTCTTTTTGTGATTTCCTTATCGACAACAAGTAAACACGTGGTGGGAGTTAATTGCTTCGTTTTGCCTACGCACGTACGTATATTTCCAAAAAGAATAGTTGGTGAAGGTTTTGTTGCATGCTTCATGTTTTTTTTGCCAAGCTTGAAATGCTTCATTATATCCAACATGTAAATAAATTCAGCGCAGAAGAAAATATACTGAAAATTAAAACGTGCAGGCAAAGTTTGGTTAAGATTCCATATCGTCGTAACCTTTTGGTGATTGGATTCACATAGTCCATATTTCATTTCGGGCTTGGTATGCATCAACCCTTCACCAAACTTTTGAAATAGCTGTATACGTTGACTTGCCGGCATTTTGGGCTTGGTATGCAAAACTCCCTTTGCCCATTGAAGTTTTAGCTTCTCGTAACAGAAATGCGTCGCCGTTTGACAGCGCGCGTGCACAATCACTGCTCAATTTTAGTCTAACTACACACCTTGCTATCATTTGTAATGGTATAGCTACAGACCTTACGATCCACACCCAACCAAGCTAAAGGCCAAGACAGACAAGTCACTCGGTTTGCTGGAGGATGTAAAAAGCATGAACCCAAATAAGGATCTGTTGACACCAAGAGAAAGCAAAGCCGTTGCCCAGGTAACGTGTCTGCCTGCCTTTATTTGTTCATTTGTCCTAATTAAGTCTAACCTCCACTCCCTTTTTCAGGCATCCCACTTTCTCCAACACAATTTTGGCACACCATATGATGAGAATTACTACGCGGGTGACTGGATGCTTGGTCCAAACTACTTTTGCTGGCAGCCCATATGCAATCTCGCTTACGAGCTAAGATCCTACGGCATGCATGCGATGCCCAGGACAATCAATGATGTGCAACAGGTGATAGATGCCATTATCAGCCATAGAAACACGTTTGAACGTTACAGGTACTCGAAGCATGTATGTATTGTTAGATCTAGGGTTAATGGAGTAAAGGTAATGTATTCGTGGCACGTTAGTGTGCAACGTGTGACATTAAACCATTATTAGCAATAGGAACACCTTGAGCGTTACAGGTACGCGAAGCATGCTATGTATTGTTTGATCCAGGGTTAGGGGAGGGGGGGGGGGGCAAGGTAATGTGTTTGGTACGTTATAGTGTGTAATGGTCGATACACGGGCAGGAGAGGAGAGAGGTTTCTTGAACCAAGTAGAAATAACCTCGCTAATTCTTGGTTCTGTGTTTGGATGGGTGGGTTGCAAAGCTGAAAACATTCCGTCATTATATTTCTTGTGGCCTAGTAGTTCCTGACGTGCATTTCGTCGTCATATCTTGTCATTTAATTATGGTATTCGCTGGCTTTTTTTTCAGGGCGAATATGGAGCTTGGAGTGCGAACTGGTATGGTTCGATCTGTAGTAGACTGTAAATCCAGTGTTTACGCCTTTAAGAATAACTATGGCAATATGGCCATCAAAAACGATTCTTCTGCTATTTTCGAGGAAAGTTATGCCAGGGTTTTTCTTGAAACATCGTTTCTTTCTCGACTTGAAGAAGGCGTCGAACAGAGTTGGGTCGCCTCCAAGGGATTGAGTGTGCAGGACTCTTTGAGGCGAGCTTTGGTTAGCGGTTTTGCGCAACCGCTGCTGGAGCTCGTACATTACATGGAGTTCCAGCATGTACGGTAAGACTGGAGCATTATCGTCATCCATATATTTAACTATTATGTCGTGGGGCGAATTGGAAACCAGTTAATGAATTATGTACTGAATTTGTCTACCCACAACCCACATTTACTTAAGTTTGTATGTATGATTATTATGATTGTCATCAACGACATCATTACGCCATTATCATCATCATCAAAAATAACATCATCACTACCACTATCAGTATAAAACATCATCTGCATCCGTTTCAACATCATCTGCATCCGTTTCAGCATCATCATAAGCAACATCACCATCATCACTATCATTATCATCATCTCCATTACCTATACTACAATCTTTAGCAACAATATCAATATAATCATCATCATTATACATTATTATATAATATATAATATTCAGTCTCTTTTCTGATTAGATGAGAGCCTGATATCACTCATATGTCGTCATTGCTTATTTTGAACGTTACTAATCTCTCATCCAATAACTGTTTCTAACTTTAGCATCCTTGATATAAACCTCTTATCCAAGCAATATTTTTTCTAGACATTGTCCGCCTGACAAGGTATCTAGCGGTCTTAGCGAATTGCCTCTCGATTACGTGTATGTTGATGGTGTACCGGATGTAAGTCAGGTGACAAACAAGACTCTGCCCACCGGGGAACGAGTTGATGGTAAAAAGACTTACAAGACCATCTTGTCGTTCTTCACCACATCTGATATAACACCTGAACAGGTCTATGAGGAAGGGGTGAAGCAGCTTGACATCTTCATGCCACAGGTTAGGTTTTATCACTCGCTTTCTTCTTTGTCTAATTGTGCTTGCTTGCTTGCTTGCTTGCTACCTTCATTCCTTCCTTCCTTCCTTGCTTTCTTGCTTCCTTCCATGCTTCCTTCCTTCCTTCCTTCCTTCCTTCCTTCCTTCCTTCCTTCC